GGGGTGGGGGTGAGGGCTCAGAAAAGAGAGTCCAGAGTCCTGAGCAGCTCAGCCTGGGGTGGGAGGGGCAGCAGCACCAGGGGCCCTCTGACCACTTTCCCTCTCCAGCCGCAGACAGAAGACCTAGGCGGGGGGAGTGAGTCCTGCAGTGGGGGAGGGTGGGGGTGGTGGAGCAGGGGAAACCGCAGGCTGGCCTGGGGCCACTGCCCTGGACTCCCCGGCTTGGCCGAGGGCCTTCAGGTTTCGTGAAAGACCCCCGCAGCAGCGCGCGCTCTCCCGGCAGCTGTCCCTGCTCTCAGGTGATGGAGCCCAAGGGTGCAACACGCCCTCCTCTACCACATCAGCACCTGGTGACTCTAGGTGTTTCTACCTGCTGGGTCCACTCTCGGAGCCTCCTTGGGCCTGGCCAGTCCTGGGACGTGGCACTTCTCTCCCTTGCTGGGGGAAAGCACAGCTGTGTCCGTCACTCAGGACATCATATCCCCGGGTGCCTGGGCTGCATCAGAACCCAGGCTTCCCCACTGCTATTGTTATTATTATTACTATTATTATTATTATTATTATTATTATTATTATTATTATTATTTTTGCTGTTGTTGCTGTTAATGGAGGTACTGGGGATTGAACCCAGGACCTCATGCATGCTGAGCACACGCTCTACCACTGAGCTATGTTCCCACCCACCAGCTGGGGTGCATCAGAATGGCCAGGATCCGGGGTTGTGTTCAGTCCCTGGGCTGCACGGAGAAGGCCTCCCTGGCAGAGGCGAGCCCTGCTGTGGGCCTGGGTGACACCATTGAGACAGCGTGGGGACATCTTATTTTCACCTGGCTCTTGCCTTTAAAAGCCGATCTTGGGGACAAAGCTGAAAATACCAGTTGCAGGCTGGAGGCTGTCCAGGGTCCTGGAGGCTCCCAGCGGGGCCAAGCATTAACTGTATTAGCTCCTCTCGTGGTGAAGCCCAGGGGAAACGCGTGGGTGAGCTCGGGACAGTCTGTTTACCACCGCGATGAAAGGTGCTTCAGTATTTCAGTGGCAAGGCTGTGCCCAAGCACGCCCATGGGCTGGGAGTCTTGGTGGCAGCCCCCTCCCCTGCCCCCATGCTCCATATTGCAACCTTCCCCAAGGAAAAGATTCAAAGCACCCACCTCCCTGTGACATAACCAAAACAAACTTGGACAAAGAACACAGCATCTGGGGGGGCTGCAAGCTCTAAGGGCACCTGCCCAGCTACCCTTCAGGACAAAGTCGGTACCAACACGGCTGCATCTGAAAACTGGTGACTGCATAAGACAGTGGGCCTCAGAACCACATGGCTCTGACTTCACCTTGGCCAGAGAGGGATGGTGTAGGGTTCCTTCACTGGCAGGAGTCAGCACCCTTACGCCAGCAAAACAGCACTTACCCTGGATTCATCGGACGCCAGCGAGGATGAACAGCCACCCTGTGCCTGACAGAGAGGGGCAGGGGGTCTTCTAGTGAGTTTCTGGGTGAAATCAATTGTAGAAAGAGTTGCAGAAAATCCTAGAGTTGCTGGAAATTCTAGTTCACAAGTAGCAGAAATGCTTAAGGAATGAGGCCAGCTGTAGCCTTAAAAGCTGCACCACAAATATTTCTCCCAAACATAAAAGCTGTAGGAAAAGGAATTTTGAGGCCAGAGACAAGGGTTCCAGGAGGTAAAGGGTCGATCACGGGGCCTGGGTCGGGGCCAAGGATGCACAGCCCTGCACTGTAATCTTTACTATTTCCTTCCTTCAGCTAGCTTTGGGTTCAGTCTGCTATTTTCCTAGCTTTTTAAGGTGTACAGTTAGGTCACTGATTTGAACGCTTTCCTTATTTTTAATGTAGGTGAAATTTCTTCTTGGCACTGCTTTCACTAGATCCCATAAGTTTTTTGATACATAGCATTTTTGTTTTCATTCATCTCAAGGAATTTTCTAATACCCCTGGTGATTTCTTCTTTGATCCACTGATTGTTAAAGACTGTTTTGAGGGGGAAGGTATAGCTCAGTGGTAGAGCGTGTGCTTAGCATGCACGAGGTTCTGGGTTCAATCCCCAGTACCTCTGTTGAAACATAAATTAATTACATGATAAATCTAATTCTCCTCCCCCCGAAAAGTGCTGTTTAATCTCTACTTACGAGTACTCCAGTGTCCCGTCTCCTGTTCATTTCTGTTTTTATTCCACTGTGATTGGAAAAGATACTTTGACTCCAAGCTTTTAAAATTTATTAAGACTTGTTCCACAGTTTAACATGCAGTCTACACCGACCAAGGCACCACATGCCCTTGAAAAGAAGGCGTGTTCTCTGTCGCGCTCCGCACATGGCCGCCGGGTCTGACCTGACTTACTGTGCTGTTCACGCCCTGTTTCCTTCCTGGTCTTCCGTCTGGTTGTTCTAGTCATTATTGCAAGTGAGGTCTGAAGTCTCCAACTGTCTCCTTTTCTCTCCAATTACATCGTTTTCGATTCATGTGTTCTGGGGATGTGTTTGCAATTGCTGCTTTCTAGATGGATGGAACTTTCACATCAATACTGTCTTCTTCTCTTGTTACCTTTTTGACTTAAAGTCTATTGTGTCTGATAATAACATAGCCACCAAGCTATCTTCTGTTTGCTATTTTTAGAGAATATCTTTTCCATCCTTTTATTTCAGACTTTTTGTATCTTTGTAGATAGGTCATGTTTTTTAAAAATCCACTTTGTCAAACGCCAACTTTTTCAGGGGGCAATCAGGTTTATTTATTTATTCTTAGAGGAGGTGCTGGGGATAGAACCCAGGACCTCATGCACATTATGCGTGCGCTCTACCACTGAGCTCTACCCTCCCCCTGAACTCTGACCTTTAATTGGAGAGTTTAACCCATTTATATTTACAGTGATTATTAACATGGATTTCCTTCTTCCATTTAGCTATTTGTTCTCCATGATTTTTGATCCTCAAGTCTGCCATTACTGCTTCTCAAGGACCTGGTTAATTTTTCAATAGTGCACCATTGTGATTCCCTCCTTTCCTGCATATTCCTAAAAATTTTTTCTTATCGATTACCTTTGGGAATACAGTGAACATCTTAAACTCATAGCAACCTAGCCTGAATAATACCGAATTAGTCTCAGTAGTATACACACAGCCCTGTTACCTCCATCCCGCCCTCTTTTTGTTGTTGTCACAGATAACATCTTTATACGTTCTGTTCCCATTAACATAGATTTATACCTATTGTTTTATGAATCTGCCTTTTAAATCATATAGCAAAAAAGAAGAGTTACGAACAGAAGTGCAACAATACACTCTTTTAGAACTGCCTACTGGTTACCTCTACTAGGGTTCTTTATTTTTTCATTTGGCTTTGAGTGAGTGTCTAGTGCTCTTCAATTCAGCCTGAAGGGCTCCCGTTAGCATTTCTTATAGGAAGGTCTACTAATAACAAACTACTCTAACTTTGTTTATCTGGCGACATCTTAATTTCCCTTCATCCTCAAAGGATAGTTTACTGGATATAGAATTCTTCTTCTTTCAGTACTTTAAACATGCCATCCTATTGCCCTCTGGTTGCCATGGTTGCTAAAGAAAACTCAGTTGTTGATCTTATTGGGGACCCCATTGTGACAAATTCTTTCTTTCTTGCTGCTCCCCAGATGTCCTCTTTGTCTTTCAGCAACTGTGTTATACTGTATCTTGGGTGGGTCTCTTTGAGTTTATTCTGCTTGGAGTTCATTGAGCTTCTTAATGTGCAGATTTATGTCTTCCATCAATTTTGAGATGTTTTCAGCCATTATTTCTTCATATAATCTCTCTGTTCCTTCCTCTCTTCTCCTGGGACTCTCATTATGCATATGTTGTTACATTTGATGGTGTCCCTAAAGTCCCTCAAGGTGTGTTCAATTTTCTTCATTCTTTTTCCTTTCTGCTCCTCAGGCAGAATAATTTCAATTGCCTTAACTACAAGTTCACCGATTGTTTCTTCTGCTTGCTCAAATCTGCCATCGAATCCCTCTAGTTAAGTTTCCCCTTTCAGTTACTGAACTTTGCAGCTCCAGAATTTCCATTCGGTTCCTTTTTATTTCTATCTGTTCATTAAGTTTCCTATTTGTTTTTACATTGTTCTCTTGATTCTCTTTAGTTTAAAATTTTGTTTTTGTCCATGGTTTCTTTTAGCTCCCTGAGCATATCTAAGACAGTTGACCTAATGTCTTTGACTAGCGATGTTAAGATAGAGTTTCTGTCAAGTTCTTTTCTCCCCCTTGAACAAGCCCTACTTTCCTGTTTCTCTGTATGCTTTGTAACTTGTTGAGAGCTGGATACTGAGTATTATAATATGGTAACTCTGGAAATCAGATCTTCTCCCTCCTCTGGGGCTGTTCCGTTGCTTGAGGGCTGCAGCCTTCTGTTTCTGCAGCGACTCTTCTAAACCGTTTTTGCAAAGCCTGTGTTCCTCGTGCAGTCACTGCAGCTTCTGCCCCACTGTCCCAGGGGTCAGTGTGTGACCTGACAGAGGTTCCCTTGACAGCTGAAGTTCAGCCGCAGCATCCTTCCTCAGGTACTTCCCTGGCTGCTGTGTCCGATGAGGTTCCAGAGCCCCCAACTTGTTGATTCTGATAGTTTTTTACCCCCAGGTTAACTATTGTTTCCATGGAGAGACTGACCCCAACTCCACCATTCTCTGTTAAAAATGTTATTTTTTAAATCACTTGCATTTCAGGGGTTGTTGCTATGCCATGTGAGAGTACTTCCAAATTCGAATAGCAGGGGTTCTGAGTGGCTGTCTTAGTTTGGTGTCCAGTTTAGTGACACTGAGGTGACCATCTGCTCTGTGGCAGGTGGGCTTCTGTGCTTCCTTGCGTGAGCCATGACAGGCAGGCTGGCCCTTCTCACTTCTCCTGCATAAAACCACCCAGTAACCCTGCAAAATTTCCTGTTTGAACACAGAAATGTGAGAGTCTGCACCTCATTTAAATTAGCACAGGCAATGAAAGAATCAAGCCACAACACTTAGGCTAGAGTAGAAACGGAATTTTAATATAATATTCAAGTCTAGCCTTTGCTATTTACAACAAATAAATATTGTCCCTCCCCAAGTGGTAAACATTTTCTTTTCACCTTTTATACAAATATTCAATCCCCGCCCCCTCCCCCCCAAGCCTCCTTCCCCACTGACCCCCGTCCCTTGTGGTCTCACACAGCCCAGGATGCAGCATTGCGAGATTCGACATCAGTGGGCCTCGGCTGAGACCGTCCTCGCTTACCGGTTAAGAGTGTGGTCCATGAAGAGGGTCTCTCTCTCCTCTCCCGGGGGAGGGCTGGAGCGGGCAGTGGGTGAGACTCCCTCACTCTCAGTTGGCCCTGATGATGGACTCTTTGGTGCAGCCTGAGAAAGGCCAGAGTGGTGGGAGGAGGGGCCAGGACCCCCCCAAGGGCACGAGGAGAGAACTGCAGTGGTCAGACCCAGTGGATGAGTGGGTGCCCTGGGGTGCCCACGGGCACAGCTGGCAGTAACCCACACCTGGCAAGGTGTGAGGGAAGTGTACAGAGGGCAGTGCCCAGCAGCAGGCAGGGCTCCGTGCCCATTGGCAGCGCTCCTTGGCAAAAGTCAGCTAGTCCTCTGATTCCAGAGAGCAGAAGGCACCTAAGGCAGCGAGTGGTCCACGGGAGGCCAGGTCAGCCCATCGGTCACAGGCATCAATCCCGGCAGCAGGAGAGGTTCAGGGTGAAACTGGAGTCTGGGGGTGGCCTGGGTTGGCAGGTTGGGCAGAGGTGCCCGCCTGGCCGGCCTGGGCCACTGCAGTCTATAAGTGCTTAGTTGCCCGGCCAGCCAGACCCTGGAAAGGGTGGCTCTGGGGCTGGCCAGCTAGGGACCAGTTAGAAGATGCCCTTGGCAATCTTGAGTCCTTTCTGCTTCATTCGGGGGAGGGTAGAGCTGGCTCCATGCCTGACCTTTGCCCCCTTGGTGAAGGTCCGTTTCTTTAGGACAAAGTCATAGTTGGCGGTAGAGTTCATGGCGTAGAACACGTTGGCGTTGTCAGGTATCTTCAGCTCTGGTCAGGGAAGGGCAGGGGGGTTCAGCTGTGCTCATGGGGGCCCCACAGGACACCCCACCACTTGAGAGCCCCCACCAGGGCAGGTCTGATCCAGAGACCTGAGACTCCAAACGCCACTCCAGGGTCACCAAGGACGCCTTTGAATGACACCTACCTGGGACAGACTCTGCTGAGGCACTGATGAAACCTAAGGACTCTTGTTTAAAAAAGACTCTGGGGGGTTGGGTATAGCTCAGTGGTAGAGTGCATGCTTAGCATGCATGAGGTCTCGGGTTCAATCCCCAGTACTTCCATTAAAAAAATAAATAAATAAAAAGACTCTGACTCCAGAAAGCCACATCTCGGGCTGGCAAAGGTCGTGCCACCCCTACACCTATGCTACCTCCACAAAGCAGGATCAGCAGCTAGAACAAGCTTTCTAGAACCCAGACCACCTGCACCTGCCCTGAATCCTGTCTGACTCGGGACAAGGGCTCTGGTCCCAGCAAAGGACAGGCTTTGCCCCAGGCCTTCTGCGCCAGAGTCCAGGGAGGCCTCCGAGCCAGGCTCCCAGCAGGTACTTGCTGTCGGGTTCTCTTCCCCGCTGTCTCCTGCTGAGCCGGAATATGCACTCTGGCCCCACCAAGTGGCTCTTACTGCAGGTCTTTAATCTCTCTTGGCCTCAGTCTTATTTTTCTGGAAGATGGGGGTCCCACCTGCCCTGTCTACCTCACCAACATGGTGCTGGAAGGTGAGGGGGGATTTAGAAAGCAACTTCTAGGCCTCGTGGGGGGGTCATCACTAAGTGTCTGGGCCAATGGCTGGGAGTGGGCGATCAGCTTACGGGAAAGGAAACAGAGTGATGGCAGTACCCGCGGTCAAGGCAAGTAACTCTGGGACGCGCACACACACACGAGCTCGTGTACAGACACCTGGATTAACTCCCGACCTGTTTTATCTCCATGGTAGTGATGGGAACACAGGCAAGGAGGACAGAGGAATTTGCCCGAGGTCCCCGAGCCACAGCTGTCTGGCTCCAAGTCTGCTTGTTTCTGATTCTTTCTTTCCTAATTTTCAGAAAACCAAGCTGCACCCTGGTAGCCTCCGTGTTTAGTGTCTGCTATGGCCCCAAGTTTGCATCCTCCCTAAATTCACTGAAACCCTAACTCCTGATGGGATTAGGAGGTGAGGCCTTGGGGAGGCAATTTGGTCATAACAGGAGAGCCCCACAAATGGGATTAGTGCCCTTGTAAAGGGGACCCCAGAGAGCGTCCTACCCACTCCCACCATGTGACAACACAGCGGACATCAGCAGCCTGTGGCCTGGCAGAGGGCCTTCACCAGAACCGGATCTTGGACTTCTAGCCTCCAGAACCGAGAGAGAGGAGTTTCTGTCATTTACAAGCCAGCAGTTGTGGTATTTCATTACTGCAGCCAGAAGGGACTAAGACAGTGTCATATGCACATAGATTTTAACAGATACGATGCATTTCCCATCTTGGCCAGAAGGTGCCCCTTCGAACGGCCTGTGGGCTCTGCCATCTGGCCGCCTGGCCCCAGGAAAAAAGCCTTTTCTCTCCTCTCCTTAACGATTCCAGCACCTAACTAGGTTCCCACTGACTGTCCACGCCCAGGGAAGGGCAGGTAATAGGGGCCCAGCAGCCACTGGGGGCCAGCGAGGAGACACGGGGGGGGGGGCGTCCAGGGCTGCCCCTGGGTAGGCCGGAGGGTGTACAAAGCCCACTCCCTCCCTGGTGGCATGTTTCCTGGGGCAGTGGTTCCCAGGACATGGTGCACCCCCTCTCCACCTCCCGGCCCCGGACTGGCCCTACTTACTGCGATCATCCGAAATAACCTGCACCAGCTCGTAGTCTTCTGGCTCGTCCTCGTCCAGGTTGTGTTTGTCCATGGCCTTGCGGATTACAGCCGGAGCCTTGTCTTGGCTGGTCACCTGGATGGGGTAGGGGACAGGCCATCAGGGCGAGGGTCCAGAGCAGCCCGAGGGTCCAGAGTGCGGCAGCTGAGGACCCTCAGTCTGTCTCGGCACCAGGCACAGGGGCTCACAGCCTCTGGCCAGGTGCAGGGTCCAGGGGGGTTGTGCTACCTTCTCCTGCCCTCCGGGAGAGGCCTCTGTGCAGTGACCATGGGTCCTTCCCAACTGCCCCCCACTTCCAGAAAGACCGCCTCCCGCACCACCGAGGGACACTGCCTGCTTCTGTGGCTGCCCCCTTGGCCCTACCCGTCCAGGGCAACGGCACCAGTGAGCCTGGGCATAGACAGCGTCTAGTCCTAGCCCTGGGGGGAAGAGGGGGCTTGCTGGCTGGACACCCAGCGGCCGCCTACGAGCCAGGACCACACTGGCTGGAGGCTGCAGGGGTGGACGGTGCAGGCCGACCCCTCCTGCCTCGACCCCAAGGGCCAGCGCACAGGCCGGACTTGGACTTCAGGTCACACAGATGACTGTGTGAACAGGGCACCTAACCCAGTGTAAGTGGATGCAAGAGCTCGTTACGGGGTGCGAGGGGCTCCTCTGCAGCCTGAGTTCTGGAGGATGAGAAGAGCCCCTCAGCCCCCACCCCCAAGAGACACAGTGTCGGTGGGCAAATCCCGTTGGCTTGATCTTAGTCTTCAAATTACATCCAGTGTCTGACACTGCCGGCCATCCCACAGCCACCAACCTGGTGTGGCCACTGCATTTCCCCACCTGGACTGTGACAGCAGCCCTGCAACTGCCCCCGGGCATCTCTTGGCACCAGCCTGTTCTCCATGGAGAAGGCGAAAGTCACTGCCGCCCCTCTGCTCCAACACACAGTGGCTCCGATCTCCCTCCCACGAGGTCCAGGCCCCTGACACTTTCTGGACCTCTGCTCCTTCACCTTGTGCCTCCTCACTGATCCTCCAAGCCCCAGGCACACTCCTGTCTTAGGACACTGCACGGTGCTCCCTCACCTACACTCAGGTGCTTTATCAGTGAGGCCCACCTCGCCCCTCTCCTGCCACAGATGTAAACCCCTCGTCTACTGCCCTCAGCACTGATCACCATCGGTGCCCTGGCTGCTTTATTTCTGTGCCTGGTTGACTATCTGTCCTTCCTAACTCACTAGAAGGCCATCTCCAGGAGGGCAGGGGTGATGCCTGGTGTTCAGCACAGCCCGCCTGCCCAGCAGAGCGCAGGGCCAAGGGCACAGCCCGCCCGCCCAGCTCACCAGGATGCTCTTGTACATGTTGCCGTTGTCCACGTCCAGGCTGACTCGGATGATGCAGCAGTCGCCCACCTGCTGGTTGTAGAGGGGCAGGGAGGAGCTGTAGTTGCAGACCCCTGAGACGGAGCGCTTGTGGGTGCGTGTGCTGGCCACGGGTGTGGTGGAGGCTGAGGAGGAGGAGGTGCTGCTGGAGGCCGAGCTGATGCCAGAGGTCTCCGGGGACGACTGGGAGGCCGACTCCCAGAACTGCGGGGGACGGCACGGTCAGCAGAAGCCCCGGGCCCGGCAGGGCCCCCCAGACCAGTGTCCAGCTCTGGGGGGTTCGTAGGAACCTGTGCAGGAGCTGGGGCTTCCTGGCCCCTCTGGCGGGTACAGGGCTGGAAGGGCTGCCAGGGAGGAGGGATGGGGCCGTCACCTTCTTCTCCTGGCCGTCAGGGGACTCTGGGACAAAGCTCATGTTGATCTCCTCCACGTCAGAGCTGGAGGAGCCGGCTGAGTGGACGCTGAGGGCGTCGGCAAGGTCCCCGCTGCTGAGGTAGGGGCCACACCTGAGCTGGTCACAGGACTTGGAGTGGCAGCTGCTGCTGGTGCTGAGCTCCGTGCTGGGGGCCTGGCGGCTGCACAGAAGGGCTAATTTACTTGGGAGAGGCCTTTCCTGGGACACGTCTCAGCCCTGCCCTGCATGCTCTGTGCCAAGCACCCAGGCAGCTGCTCTGTTGGCTCCAGTGTCTGAAATCACCCCGTTTTACAGGGGAAAAAACTGAGGCCCAGAGAGGTGAGGCGAACCTCCCAGTGCCAGCTGTCCAGAGCCACTCTCACCCTGAGCCAGGAGGCGGCCCTCCCCAGCCCTACCCGGCCCTCCCCAGCACTCACTCGCTCCAGCGCTTGACGATGGCTGTGTTCTTCTTGACCTTGAGGGTGTTGCTGGCCGAGTCGGAAGGGGGCTCCAGCTCACACGACAAGTTGTAGCTATGGGACAGCAGCAGCTTGGCTACCAGAAGCCACACTCGGGTCTCCCTCCCGGCACCTGCCCCGCAGCTAAAGTCCAGGTACCCGGCTGTCACCAGGCAACAGTCCCAGGCTGACCTCGATCCCATGCCATGGGCTCCCCGGAGCCGGCCCGGGGACCCCACGCTGTGCCGGCTCCTGCCCAGCCTCACCTCTCCGTCTCGCTGAGCCGCTCCAGGGACCGGAACCAGGCCCCGAAGTGCTCTTCGGGCGAGATGCTGTAACTGTTGCAGGCCGACTGGAGCAGCTTGATCTGGGCGATCACTTCGAATTCCTGGGGCCAGAGGGAAGGACAGGATGGTGACGGCCTGGTGGGCAGGGCCTGCCGTGTCCTCTCTTTCCACTCTCTTCTTAGAACTGGGTTCAGCCCCTCCAGGAAGTTGTCCTTGATTCGACCTTCTGCCCCACCCTCCATGGGAGACGGTCCCCCTCCCTACCCTGAGTCCAACTCTCAGGATAAATGTAACAGGGCGGGGGGGGAAGGAGCCAGGTGTCCTACGCAGGGGGGCCTCTGATCTCCACCCGTCAACATCCCCGACATCCGCCCCCTTCTCCCATGAGGCTGTGACTGCTCACCTTCCTCCTCTTCTCGAAGTTGATCAGTCTCCCCTGGAAAACAGACGGCCAGTGTCAGAAAGTGTCCCCTTGCCCATGACCACCCCTTGCCCCCTCTCAGGCTGCACTACCCAGAGCACACAGCAGGGGGCAGGGCAGCACACACCTGGCCTGGGTGGACGTGGGCACCAGGGCTGGGGGAAGTGGGTAGAGGCTCAGAGACCTCCCATCCAGTCCTCTGAGGCCAGTTGGAGGCCTTGGGCAGAAAGGCCCGCTTGGCCACAATATGCCTGACCTTCGAGGGTCCATCCTCTCTCCAGTCACAGCCACCGCCTCGGGGAGGGGCTGTGTCCTGCTGGGCCAAACCCCCTGTGGCTCTGAGCCCCACCAGCCAGGCACCAAACTCTGTTCATTTGCTGCTAAAGTGGGTAGGTGTTCCTGGGACACAGGGAGGCCAGGGGGCTCTCACGGGAGTTGCACCCTCTGCTAAGAGCTCAAGGCTCAGACCCCACCCCCACCCCAGCCCCCGGGCTCACTCACATACAGATAGTCCTTCATGGCGGTGTCCAGCATCACCAGGTCTGTGAGGAACGTGCCCAGGTAGGGAACGGTGCCCTGGATGACACCCTGTGACATGGGGGAGGGGAGCTGATGACCAAGGCCCCAGGCCCTGGCCCTGAAAACCCCTCAGCCCCAGCCTCCTTCCCACCCAGGCCTCTCATCTGGAGCAGCTTGGGGACGTTCAGCCACCTCCTCCAAGTCCCCCTCCCAAACTCCCTCTAGTCACCTTCCAGCCCTGCATTTGGCAAATCCCCAAGGTTATACGGTCCCGGGCCCTCCCCACCACATCCCTGCTGAGCCCAGCTCTTCCAGTTCCCTGCTCCGGTGGCTACAGCTAGTCCCCCAGGGACACCAGCGGGTCAGGGTGCAGCCTCACTGGGGCCCAGGGGAGGTCAGGTCTAAGAGGCACGTAGGCCAGTGCGCCCACAGGAGGGGAGGGGTTGGGCCAGCCCCTCCTCTCCAGGCCTCGGGCACACTTACCGTCTCCTTTGGCCGCTTCTGGGCTCTCTTGGGGTTCATCTCCAGGGTAGCAAACTTGGAGGTCCCCTCCTGCAGGGCCGAGGACAGGGCCGGTGAGGCCTTCGGCCCCTCCCCCCTTTACACTACAGTAGACCTGCCCCCAGCCTTGGTCAGTCGTGCAAACACTCCGGCCACCCCCAGCACACTCAGCTTCTAGATCTGAAGCCCCGTTCCGGCGCTCACGGGGTGTGGGACCTCGGGCCAGCAGCCTGGCCCCCCTGAGCCTACTTCCTCAGCTGGACAGTGTAGACAAGGACTACATTGGCCCCTCAGGGTCTCCAGGGATACAATGTCACATGCCCGTCACTGTCACCGTGTCTGTGCTGCCCCCCCTCTTCGCAGTCATCATTCCTCCACTTTCCAGAAGAGGAAACAGGCCCGGAGAGGGGCAGTGACTGCCTCTGAAAGGGACTTAGAGGGACTCAAGGAGAGCAGGCTCCTCCCTCCCCCCCAGGCCCCGGGAGCCTCTGCTGAGTGCTGGGTCCTCAGCTGGGCGAGCCAGGGAGAGAGGGTCAGGGACTCTGCCTGCTCCCGCCTGCCCAGCACACTGGGGTGTCCGCCCTGCTGAAGGCTTCATGTCCCCACGGAGCCCCCCGGCTGTCCCCTGCACAGAACTATGCCTTCATCCACTCAGCAGGGCTCTCCTCGGTGCCACCTCTCACAGGTGAGATGTGGCTGCCAGGAGCACTGGGTGGTGACACTCTGCTTCCTCTTTTGCACGGAAGCTGCCGTGGAAGGACCCCTGTGAATGCATCGGCCCCCCTACACCTGTCACAGCCATTTCAGGCGTTCGTCCTGGCCAACTAAGGCTGGTGCTGAGAATCCGAGAAGAGTCCCTGGGTTTCATTTGTAGTGTCGGCCCGGGGCCGAGTGAGGAGTCCTCAGCACCCAGACCTGCCTCCCGGGTCTGGTCCTTTGGACCCGCAGCTGCGCAGCCCCTGTGGTGCCGGGCAACCCCTGCAGTGCCGGCCCTGGGCAGCCCTTGGAGGTGAGTGCGGACAGAGGAGAAGCAGGGCCTGGCTTGGTGGGCACAGGCTGGGCTGGTCTGGGGAAGGAAAAGACCCCCTGTCCTTGACCCCATCCATCCCCCTACCTGGGGGAAGCTGAGTGCTGGGGGGGAGGGAGCAGCGAGGATGCAGGAGACGCTAGTCCTGCTCCTCCCCTACTCCATCCCAGCACCAGGGCCTTCTGTCCCCCAAAACTGCCCCTCACCTGCCCACAGACCAAACACATCCCAGGGGAATTTTCCAAAGCAACTTGCAACGCAAGGCCACCCCCGCGCCCCCCCCACCTTGATGAGCAGCTCTCTGCTCAGGGAGTAGTTGTTCTCATCCGAGAAAATCTCCGACAGCTTCTGGAAGATTCGAAAGCTGTCCCTGGAGGAAGAAGGAAGGAGAAAGTGGGGAATGTGGGGAGGGGTGCGCGTGCAGAAATACTGAAGAACCCAGAGACACAAACTCCCTGGTCGGGCGGTTTTCAAACAGGGTTCCGCTGGGCCCTGAGGGCTCCATGGGCCTGGGGGGCGGGGCAGGCTCTCGTGGGTCACCGGGGCCTCATTCCTCTTTTTACTGAGAAGCTTTGGTGGCTAGTTATGATTTCAAGTGGACAGAGTTGTACGGCTGCGACAACCACATGAAAATCTCCAAAGTGACTCAATCCAGGACCTGACAGATAAGGAAACTGGGTTTTGAGGCAGAACCACTGGCCTGAGGCCGATGGACCCTGAGACCTCGCCTCCCCAGGGGCCTCCCCCCAGGGTTGCCCCCAGGCAGGTCCCAGGCTCCCCGGCCCAGCAGCACACAGCCCTGCGGGGGCTCCTACAGGGAGAAGCCTGCCCACCTGGAAACCTCCTCCCACGTCTTCTTCAGTCGGTGGATGGAGTTGCTCTGCAGGGCAGACAGGATGGCGTAGAGGGACGAGAAGTTCTTGAGGACTCGGCACTCCTGGGAGGGAGGGGAACAGGACGTGAGGCGGGGCTGGAGCGCCACCTGGTCAGTTGCAGTCCCCCTCGGCTGGGACCACCCCTCCCGGGTGAGACCCGAACCCCGGGAGGCACTCCCAGGAGGAGATCTGTGCTCGACCCAGGGAAGGACTGCGAGGAGGAAGTGGGCGCACAGGCAGTGAGTGGGGTGTGTGGGTCCAGTCCGCGTGCCCCTGTGGAGGCAGGACCCCTGGCCGTTCAGGGGCTCAGATCATAGACCACAAGCCTGAGGGCAGACAGGGGTGAAAAGGGGTTCCCCCGGGCCCTGGGCGGCATACCCTGGCCACCTCGATCCAGTGCTCCACCACCCTGGCCCTGTCCCGGGCTGTCACGTTCCGGTCCCCGAGGCAAGTGGTGATGACGCAGTTGGCCACACTGTTGAACTGGGTGACGGTGGCACGGACGGTGGGGGCCAGGTGCTCCTTGCCCTTCTTGTCCCGCTGGGACCAGATGGAGCCCAGGCAGTGGTAGGGCACCACCTTCTTGAAGAGCTCCTGGGGAGCAGGGGGCGTGTCACCTGGCTCTGCCACACCCCAGCTCAGCGTCCACAGTACCCCCGCCCCCTCCCCGGTCCCAGGTAGGGTGACCAGTCAGAGCTGGGGCTCAGGAAGCTGAGGATGGGGCATCTGGGTTTTGTTCCCTGCCCACTGCAGGTGCCTAGCACATGGTGACCCAGGATGAACTGGCAGGAAAGAGTTCGGCATTTTCACTCGCCCATCCTAACTCCAAGGCCCAGAAAGGGCTCATCCCTGCATGGACAGGAGGTGCTTTCAGCCCTTGATCATGCCTTAGGTCTGTCCCCCATCCAGATACGTTCATGTGGGTGCCACAACCAGAGGCTTTCTCTGGTGTTTGCCATGGCCTCTAGCACACACCAGGTGCCTATTAAGTGCTGAAGCTGGGGGGCAGTGACCCATGGAGCTGGCTGCACCCTGGTGAGCTCCCCTCCCCCACCAAGTGGGCCAGACCTCTCCCCACCCTGGCTTTCTACTGTTCCACCTCATTTCATCCACTGTCACTCTGTGCAGAGAGGTCCCATGTCCACAGTCTGGAGGGGAATCGAGGTCTCAGGGTTAGGAAACTTGCCTACATCACACGGTTTGTAATGACAGAACTTGGACTTGGAGCAGGGCAACAGCTCTGGACAGGGAATGGCAGGTCTGGGCAGCACATGCCAGGAAGAAGGTGCACCCCTGCCCCCCCGCCCTGTGGAGAAGAGCTGCCTACCGCATCCATCAGTGTGAACTGCTCTGCCACCAGGTCCGGGGGGAACACCAAGAGATGCGGCTTCTCCTCACTCAGCCCGTTCTCTGCAGGCACAGGCGAAGGCCAGGGAGGTTCTGGTGCTAGAGCTGACTCTAGCCCTAGACTTTGCAATAGAGCTGGTTCTGGCTCTGGAGTTGGGGTTGGAGCTGGTGCCGATACTGGGTCCAGCTCTGGAGCTGGTGCCGATGCTGGCTCAAGCTCTGGAGCTGGCACTGAACTGGGTGTTAGACCTGGAGCTGGCTCTCGCTCTGGAGTTGGTTTCTGAGCCGGAGCTGGAGCTGGAGAAAGAGCTACAAGAGGATAAATGATCAGCAACGTGCATGTCTTTTCAAGACATAAAAACACGCCACCGCCTTCAAGAGGAGCTGCAACCCAAGACCACCCCAGGATGACTTCCCGGACTCTGGTCCACCACAT